AATACTTTCGGGCGAATATTGCCTCCAAATAACTCATATAAACGCACTTTCTTTCGGACACATCTCGCAAAATATCCTAAAATGACACATAGTATAGAAGTGTTACCAGTGACAATTTAATCATTCATTAAACGCTAACTTTTTGATCCGTTGGTTCTTTTTCTTGCTTCACATATTCAATTCGATGGGTTTGTCTCAATTTGTCTAAACTGGGAACCAATGGTAGCCTGTCTTTAGGATTGTCGAAGTTCTCAAACTGCCACCATATGTACGACACATTAGCTACACGTGCCTTTAAATTGGTTTTAAGCAACTGATCCATTGAGTCGATCCATACGGTATCCCTGTCTATCACAGCCGACAATATACCAGAACTGAATACATTTGACAGGAGGACTGCCATCAGAGCCCAGATTGAGATCAGAAATGATCTCTTGGGCTCTTTTTTAACTTGATTTATGAGTTGCGCTGTCGTCTCAAACAGTATAACACTAATACTTTTGTGCTCATCTGATATGTATTTTTAAATTAGATATAAATTTTAATTATTAAAGTATTCATATTATAATAATTTATCATACCATTTAGCTTGCATTCAATATAGTGAACAATTGATACAATAAATATACTCAATACTACGAGTAGCCAAACATTGAGTGCATAGACATTAAGCATGATTGCTATATTGGGTTGTTTTGTATATAATGCACTCAGAATGACCATGTTGTATTCATCCTTAAACCACTGGCCTACTGCAAACCTTGCAAATGTAAGAGTTATAGGCCATCTGGCCAGCACCGCATCAACGTCCTAAAAACAAAGACATTTTTACAATTAATATTTTAAGTTTGAGAAATATTAGTATTTGAAACTAATAATAATAACCTGATGATCTTCCATATACTTTGGAACTTCAAAAAATTCATTGTATGTTCTTAAAGTGATATTAAACTTACTAAACACTCCGCTCGCCAATGCCCCCACAACTCGCACATCAAAAAAACATAACCACTAAATATTTAATTTTTCAATAAATATTAGTTATTGTGTTAAACAATGTTTCATATGTTTATAAAATAATAATTATAACAAAAAATTCATACATTACTATAGGTAGCAATGGTAAGAGACAGTTCGCTGGAGGGGTCACCCAACTGGTTGTCACCCAATTTATATTCTTTACACTTTCTTAGGTAATAAGCCATAGTTCATTTAGATAATCCAGATAAATGTTTTAATTTGATAACATCTATGATAAATGTAAACACAAATATATAAACAAAAATATTCTTATGTTATTATATGTGTTTATTATTCAGTTCAAACAAACTAAGATTTAAAATAAAATTTATTATAAATAAAATTTTCCACAGACGGTTTATAAATTATTCTATTGTGTTTGTATTAATAGTGTTTATAAATGGTAATTCATTTAACACGCCTTCCCTATGGGACTCTAGCATATTTTTGATGTTTGGAAATACTTTTATTATCTGTTTTCTATCTTTCATTATTAGTATGTATTGATTGAATGTTGAAAGAGAGAGAGAGAGAGAGAGAGAGAGAGAGAGTCTATAATTTGAATCATTATCTAAACTTATAATTTCATATGTAAATTGCTTCACTTGTTTTCGCAATAATTACTATGAAGTCTATTTCATTCGTTTCAATTAATATTATATTTTATGAAATCCAATGTAAGAATAACATTTAATTAAATACATTTCAACACAGTATAATGAATCAGTTGTTTATATTATAATCACTTAACTATTCAAGAACATTTACTTTTAAGGTTATATATATATTGATTTACAAACTACAGTATTACTTATTTGTGGTGCAGTACAAAATAATTAATTTCTGTATTTTTTGTACAAAAGGTTAAATGGCAGACAAAGACATCTACTTTGTATTTCTATACAAATGCACTTAAGTTAATAATTATTGTATACATTACTTGTTACTTCTTAAGGTAATTAAAATATCTTATATTTAATTATGAACCATAGCATTACCAATAAGCAACAAGTAATACTAAAAGTAATACAAAATCAAATAAAATAGAAACTTGCGTCAATACCTCTAATAATTAAATTATTTATGAAATGACTTACTTGTTAGTACTTAGAAAAACAGTCTACAGGGTAAAAATAATTGTTTAGGTAATCGCTATTTATGCACACTTAAATGCAACACTTTATTTTCAGTCTAACTATAATGAATTAATTGAATAAATAAACAAATACCATACCAATTCAAGTGCTGTTTGCAATAAAAACCTAATTTCTCCTTTAACAATATTAAATAAAAACTTAATAATACTGTACAGTATGTGACTCAAAATTATATTTTTTCAATAACCGTATTATTTATCTTATATTGTATATTACTAAAACTTATGATATTTTTTTTAGTAAATAGTATTCTTATTAGTAAATAGTTAATAAATACTTAGTAAATACTTTTTAGTAAATAGTATATTGAGTAATTCTTAGTGAAGCCCTTAATAAATAAGGGCTACAAACATATGAGAGTTAAATACTTGACTAAGTATTTACATAGATATATAAAACTTGTGATATTTAGAAAATGTTTAGAAAGTTTTATTGATTCTTTGACTGTTTAAAGACATTTATAGAAATTAATATTAATAATATTTGATTAATTAATAAATAATAATAATAATTTTATATTTAATTAAACTGTTTTGAAAAGAAAAATTATGTTCTCCCCTAACATAAGATTGCTGGCAATTATATCTAAGTTTCTGATAAGTGGGCAATTATATCTAGGTATATTTGCACCTAATTTTGAGAGATGTTTTGCATAATTTACAAATTGAGTAATTAATGCGAAGTAATTGCAATAAGAGAGAAAAAATACAAAATTCATTAAAAATGTAATAAAAAACTTTTTATTTAAATAACATTTTATTGACTCTAATTTTGAAAGACATTTTCCCCATGAGATGTTTTATCTAAATCAATTATTTTCTTACAGCAAAATAATGATTTGGCATAAAATGATGTATTTCCAAATTAAACCAAATATGGTAAATGAAATACAATGTAATGGCTCTGGGAAAATCTAGCAATAATTGTACTTACATTTACGTTCGCAGCGTATTTAATATACACATAAATCATTTTATTGGATTCAATGAGAAGTTAATAATGAAATATAATACAAAATTAAGTGTAAGAATTGTATATGAAATTCAAGTGCAAGTAGACACGAAAACGTTTAGAATTTTGGTTCACTCATCATGATCATACAGTTTAGTCAAATAATATATACTTTATATATTTGGTCCACAAAACCAATACTTCATTTCCACTACTTTTAGTTACATTTCGTTTTCACTTTTTTTTATTTTATCATCATTTTTTCAATAGTTTCAAAAATGAATACAGGATTTAGTTGTTGTTTATTATTAGTGTTTTTCACTTATTTGACAGGTATTTTCAGTTAAACTTATTTTTAAAATTTGATCAAAATTTTAATTTTGTCATTCTTGTAGCAAATGGACAGACATTACCACCGTTGGAGACATTGCCAACAGACATGTCGACCATGTCCTCCATGAATATGTCTTCAATCATGAGTCCATTTGATGAGAGCTGTATGAATGCCCAGAACTCGTCATCCGATGATAATGTGGTCTTCGTTGGAGCCGTTGCTGTAAATATTGATTTGTTTACGAGATTACAAAACATTTAGAATTTTATTTTCAATCTATAGCTAAATCAGGACAATGAATGCCAAGTGATTTGTCAAATACAGACACTCCAACAGTTTGCTATTACTTTTGCTGGAAGTGAGTACTATTTTGTTAAAATATATTGTATATATTCTTATATTTATAACTTTTATAATTTTAATTTTTCAAATCGTCATTTTTTTCTTTACAACTGTTTATACAGTACTCTATTAGTTATCATTTATAACTTATTAGTTATCATTTTTTGTTTATGTTTTATTACAATTTAATGTTACATATTCTCAAGAATTTAACTAATTTATTTTGTTTTCACGAATCAGTCATAAGAACCCGGGCTATAATCGTTGGCAATATATTCATGGCTTCAATGCCCGATAACTCTACCTGTGCTCAAACAGGTGTAAGTAGTGCTTAGTCTTTATAAACCGATAATTAGTTCATTGTTTTTATCAAATTGATTATAATTTCTAACACTTTTATAATTATTGATAAAATGTTTGTAATTGATGTGACCAGACATGTATGGGAGGGATGTGTAATGGAAGTGCGGATACAATGTCCACAACTATGTCTTCAGACATGACGAGCACCACTACAGTCGCGACTAAGACAACGACAATCAAGAGAAATACGACAACCAAAGCCCCGAAACGGGCTTAAAAGTATGAAGTGGTTGTCCCATGCAATTGATATCATTAATATTTTAATTCTTATGTAATCCCTGTGCTCTTAAAATACTTATTTAATTCAGAGATTATTGCAAATCTAATCAATCAGTTATACAATTGTGAGAGTTTTGTAACACTTGTAAGTCATGCATGTATTGTCTTTTAGAAAGTTAATTGACAACAAAAATATCTTCGTATGAACTCTTGCACTGAATATACTGTACTTTTCATATAAATTATACCGATATAGACATTATTTTCATGAATTGTTATTAGTGTATAAATATTTAATAAATTATATATTAAAATATATGTGTTTTATTTTACTTATAAAAGTTGTTTAATATTTATTAGCATTAATTATTTACAATGGAAATGATTACGTTAAAGTTTTGTAAGTAAACAACTTTTATTATTTGCTTAATAGTTAATTAAATATTCAATTATCACTTTTACTTTAATTTGGTTTTATATTAATTAGTAAATATTTTCGTAATGCAAATATCTAAAGCCATTGTAAAACGTAGGGCAGTTATGAGTTAGATTGCCCTGGTATGAATTATAATTACCACAATCCATATTCTCATAGATAATCCAATCGATTAGTGAGATTTTGAGTATATTTAGTATCAATTCGACGATAATTAATACTTTGACTTCAAACCACATTTTTGTGACAATCATTGCAATTAAAGTTATGTCACAAAAGATGTGAATTATGGCAATAATTAGAAAATAATATTTTTGCTGATAGCCGTACGAATATTTTATGTAAATTACAATAAACTTCACACATATTAAACCATTTGTTATAAAATTAATTAATAGTAAAAGTAATGAATAAATTGTGTCCATTATTTGAGAAACGTTTATATTTATGATACTATTAATTATTAAAAACAAAATGATAAAAATTTAGTCTAACTGTAATAATTACATTAATAATTAATAATACTGTAATAATTAATTATTGAAAATATTTCCATCATAAATTCTTCATATGACTAAACAGTTATAAATGCAATAAATTTAATAAAATTAAAACACTATATTTTTAATCATAAAATAAATAGTTTTGTTTGTTTAAATCATTAAAAAAACTTTTATAAATTAGATCATTGAATGACTCTTAAAAGTTATTTCAAAACATAATTTTAGATAACTAATAAATAACAGATACATTTTTTGTTAACATCTAAATATTCATTGAAATAAACTCATAAATATTTATAAATTATCAAAAATTAACATTAAACATAAAAAGAAATTTCTAACTGTGTTTATTTAATTACAGATATACTTTCATGCATTTTATTATGTAATTCAATTGACTTATTACGGGCTGAATGTCCGGACACTAAAATCACAAATCCCTGTATTTGTAACGACAAAACTAATCCCCAAAATCCAACCATAGTTTGCAATAATCTTCAGAAAGACTTTGATTTAAACAAATATTTCTCAAACCTATCGAAAAACGTGAAAAACAAGAATTTCTCACTCATTCGCATCGAAAACAGCAAAATCGAGAAAGTTTTGGCCAAATTCTTGGTGGACATCGAGCCCACGCGCATGGAGTTCATCAACTGTACATCACTCACGTGGATCAGTCAGAACAGCTTCGGACGTATGTCTTATACTCTTGAAAAGTTGGTTAACTATTAATAGATTGATTGCGAACTCCCAGTGCAGACACCGTTTATCCAGGAGATGGTGTTCGAGGACAGTCCGGTCACTAACTCGGCCCCAAAGACCACAGAAGTCTTCGACGCCTTTAATCACTTGCCGTGTCTGAAGACACTGGATGTGTCGGGCACTCAGATGACGTCCATCCCTCGGGACGCCTTCTCCACAATCCTCGTGTGGTATCCCTTCGAGTTAAGACACCTTTTGTTTTGTAAATCATCGCAAAAATGCCGAAGTATTCAAAGTGTGGGAACGAAAGCCTTCTACTACTTGAATGAAATCCAAACCATTGATATTTCTCGACATGTCATCGACACCATCGATGCGTTTGCCTTTTCTTTGCACAATATCTCTGACATCGGACTCAATGTTATATTGAATGATAATTATCTGAATGGAGAGAGTTTTGATGAAAATGCCTTTCAGTTTGTGGGAAGGCCTACTCAGCTATCACTCGTTGGCAATACTAAACTGACTTTTATTAAGCAAGAAGTTTTCAAGCCTTTCCTTCAAGATAATCCATTAAATAATTTAAATATAACTAACTGTCCAATTGATTGGAATTCCGATCGTATGACTTGGTTTAAAACACTTGATCCCAGTCTTAAGAAAAGGATTCATTTTTAGTTACTATTAATTCATTTCATAAATAAAGTTTTAAATTGAATAAATTATATTTCATATGTATCTAAATGTACAGCTAAAAACTAATGCCGCTATAAATAAGTAATAAAAATAAGTCAGTATAAAAATAAATCATTTAACAAGTAAAACTTAATCAATTAAATCATTTATTTGCCTATATATTGAAAACCGAAATAATAAACACATTTAGGGTCTAGTTTTCAAATCCAAATTGACATCTACTAAAGGGATGGCATTTACTATCTGTCGCTGAATAATAGGCCGCCCATTAGCCACTTCTACGATGGCGTTCCCCGTGAATGCGCCCACAAAGTAGCTGACAATGGGAGCGATGGCCATAATGGCTATCAACGAGCCATCTCTGAACCACTTGGAGTCGTATAAGTGGATCAACACAACCACCGCCGCCACCAATAAACCGATGATAAGTTTTGCGAGTGAAGTCACCTCCGCCTCTATGGCCAGTCGTCTCACTGACAGACATATATCCCTCAACAACGGACTCCATGTTATACAGACATTACGGTAGCGTTGATGGCATTGTAGGCAGCGGTCGGACAAATAGCGAAGTATTGAGAGTCTCACACATCGGCTACAGATGTGACCAATAGGTCCGATGCAGTCGCAGAAGTAGTTGTGATATAATTGGTCACCAAATTGTGGCAATTCATCGTTTTTGCGAACACATTGTCTGCAATTTGGTCGGTCGTCACTCTTCACGACATTCTCTTTCTGTCCATACATACCATTCTTGTCATCACTCATACCTACTCTATAATTACCTCAATCCCTGTCCTCTTAACCTTGTTTTATGGACACATCTAATCGCTAATAATTTTTAAAATGTTGTCAACTTTATCATTTTAATTTTTTATAAAGAATATTATTTTTAACAAAATATTTCAAAAATAAAATAATATTTTAGATAATAATTTAAACATTAATTAAACTACAATCATATCAATTATCTCTTTTAACATCTTAAGCCCTGATGATGGTCTCAGTGTAGACCGAAAACGTTCAGCAATTATCTTAATTTGATTTTTAACTCCTTTTCACTCATAAAGTATTGTATAATAACATAAAAATAATATTTTATTATACTGTACTGTATTATACAGTGTATTATACAGTGTATTATACAGTAAAGATTATACTTAAAATTAATATTGAACTCAGTTTAGTTTCTGTTTGATTGAACCTTAACTAATATTTTTGTCAATTAATTTAATTATAGATTAGTCTTATAAATTTTGTTCAAAGAATAATTTTTAAAATTTTTATGCTAGGTATAAATTATATCAAAATAATGAATTTCATAATAAGATTTTTAGTAATACTGTACACATGTGAAAATATATCTCAATTTTCAGTCGATGATTAAATGCAACTCTTTCTTGCTTTGAATATAAATCTCATAATATGACTTGAAACTAATCAAATGCAGTCTCTCAATTATTTTATCTTATAAGCAATATTTTTGTGCTCTTTTGTGCT